GGCTTCATGAAGCCGTGCCGGTTCGAGGGCGAGGTCCGCAACCTCGAGATTGCCGGGACTGTGCCAACCGAGCTGGACGGCACTTTCTACCGCGTCATGCCGGATCCGCAGTTTCCTCCCTTTATTGATAATGATCCTGTAAGCTTGAATGAACAATGAACAAAATTTCCTTCAATTTTAACTGGCTGGTATTGTTGCTAACCTGTTGTTTTATTTTGTGTAGTGGTTTAATGGCGACGGAAATGTGTCAGCTTTCAGCTTCCACAACGGCAACGTTGATTTCCAGCAAAAATACGTCAGAACGGAGAAATTCGTTCGAGAACGAGAAGCAAACCGAGCGCTGGCAGGTACTTATCAACTCCTCGCCTGATTGCATCTTCACTTATATGGCCTGAATACACTAACACCAACTGCTCATAGGAAAATACCGCAACAAATACACCGACGCAGTAGAGTTCAAAGTTCGCACAACGGCCAACACCAACATCTACTACTTCAACAAATCTCTCCTCGCCATCAAAGAGGACGCCGCACCCTATCTCATGGACCCCGTCACCCTCGAGACCAAAGGCCCGTGCGACTTTGACGGCCAGCTGCCCAGCCTGACTTTCACTGCGCACCCCAAGCTGGACCCTGTCACGGGCGAGCTCGTGTGCTTTGGGTATGAGGCCAAGGGTGACGGAACGCCCGACGTGTGTTACTTCAGTATTGACGCAGATGGGAAGTTCAACCAGACAGTGTGGCTGATAGCGCCGGTGGTTGGGATGATTCATGACTTTGCGGTGACGGATAACTGGGTATGTCGAAGTTAACCGGGTCCTCATCACTTTGCTAATTATATTCGCAGGTTCTATTTCCTATGATACCTCAGATATGCGACATCGAGAGACTAAAAGCCGGAGGTGAGCACTGGCAATGGGACTCGAACGTCCCCATCTACATTGGCGTCCTGCCCCGACGCGGAGCCAAAGGCAGTGATGTCAAGGTAAGCACGAATCACTCTGATACCTGCCACTTAACAGACTGACTGACGACTTTCCAGTGGTTCCGCGCACCAAATGCCTTCCCAGGCCACACCACAAACGCCTACGAAACCCCCGCCGGCAAAATCGTCTTCGACCTCCCCCTCACCGACAAGAACGTCTTCTTCTGGTGGCCCGACGCCGAGGGCAACGCTCCGGACCCGCACGACATCCACGCCGAGTACGTCCGCTTCGAGTTCGATCCCACGGCCACGGAGCACTCGCTCGACCTGCCGAAGCCGACGGTGATCCTCAAGCACGACATGGAGTTCCCGCGCATCGACGACCGCTTCGCGACCAAGGCCCACCGGCACAGCTGGTTCGACATGATGGACCCGTCGCTTGGGACCGACTTTGCGGCCATCATGCCCGTGCTCGGCGGCGGACACCCGCTGTACAACGCGCTGGGCCACTTGGATCACGAGACGGGGAAGTTGGAGGTGTATTATCCTGGGTCTACGCACATGGTTCAGGAGCCGGTGTTTGTGCCGAGGGGGGAGGATGCGGCTGAGGGAGATGGGTTTCTGGTGGTGCTGGTCAATAATTACAAGACCATGTCTAGTGAGTTGCACGTTATTGATACGCGGAAGTTCACGGAGGCGGCGGCAGTGGTTAAAGTGCCCATGAGGCTGAGAGCAGGGCTTCATGGGAACTGGGTCGATGCGAAGGAATTGAGGTAAAGACTGTCTAGGTCTAAATGAGGGTTGTTCGAGATGGTGGCTGTGTTAAAATGCATGAGAAATCCACCACGATAGCGTAAGCCATACACACGGCTTGTTTTACTAATTCTATCGTATTGGAAAATTCCCCATCCCATCGGACACCATCCCGAGGTCAAATATTGACAGTAGATCCAATAGGCCCGAAGCGGATGTTGGACCACGCGATCTTGCTACACCAGGATTAGTCAAACCCTCCAGTAGGCACGAACGATTCTTACGCTTTGGACCAACCCCACTGCACGTCCAAGTCATTCGGGTTATTCTCCTGCCATGGACAAGGACCCCGAGTTCCGCCAGGATCATTGCCTCTGTCGACGGGGTAGGTCGAATCGAGCCAAAGGTTCCAAGCATAGTACTGGACGATGCCACATCAGTTCAGTTCCAAACTCGAATTTTGGAAAGAAGGAAGAAGGCTTCGTACATCATCCTGGATGGACAAGGCCATCACCATAGGCCGGCGTAGGATGTCGTTCTGGCGGGCCACGCCTCCAAGAGCCTCAAATGTATCCGGCTCGCTGAACTGCCAGGTCTTGGCCCGGCAATAATCCTTACTCAACCCATTGACGTCAGGAAAGTTCGGCAGAGCTGGGGATGAAGCATCGATTCTCTTGCCATCCTGGATGAAGAACTTGGTGATCTTATCCTCCGCGAATTGAGTAACGACTCTGAAGAAACATCAGCTCAGACATATTTCTCAGTGAGAGAAGAGCACGAAGAGTTCGTACGTGAACTTCTTCGACGTATCCACGTCCCCTCCGATCCCGTAAAAGTCCGTGACACCAAGCCTGTATGGGTTATAATCGCAGCCGTCACTGTCGCACTGCCGCAGGCGTTCCTCGCCACAAGCTCCGTTTTCGCAAATGGCATAGGAGTTTATGCGGCTGCAAATCTTGGACGACGTCTGGAAAGCTCTGGAGTTGGAGTTCCTACGACGATGAGCCATGCCATACCACGAATCAAGGCACTCTTACCAGACATCAAACTCGGGACAGCATGCGCCGCGGTTGCCCTCGCCTCGGAGGGGATCCCAAGCGGACGGATGCCAGCCGTCAAAGTTGGCCTGGAAACACGTCAGTATTACCCATAGCTTTCACTGACAATGACCAGGAAGGACTCACCTCGCCACCAACGAATCTCCCCGATCTCGTACACGACGCATCACAATACCCCGTCCCATACCTCGCACCCGCCTTATTCCCCTCATATCTCTCCAGTCCTCCATCAGCGTCCATGGCCAAAAACGTCAACGCCCCATTCAACCCGCACGGCACCGTGCCCAAGTCAACATCGAACGCCAGCTCGTTCCCGAGCAGCGAGAACGTCTGATACTTATCCCCGCTCTCCTCCATCAGGAACACCCTAGAGTTTCGGCTCCTGCTGAAATCGATCGGCGTCTCGTACTGCTGGGACAGGGAGTCGCCGTTGGTAACAATACCATAGCCAGGATAGTAGGCACCGTCGACGGCACAGCGCTCGGTGCACGATTGCGTCGAGTTGCAGTAGTCCGTCTGCCACTCCTGGCGCTCGAAGCAGCTGTGCCAGTCGTCGACGACGTGGATCCAGCGGTATTCTGCGTCGATGGTGATCTCACCTTGGACTGTTTCGCAGGTGGAGCTGGTGCATTGCTTCCAGGAGAGCTTGGGATGGATCTCTTGCTGGAGGTCGCCCACCTTTTGCGCCTCGGCGAGAAGCGCCAGAGAATAGAGGATGAGCACTTGGCGCATGATTCAAGTGTGGTCAAGCTGGGTGGAAGACAAGGTCATGATGGGACCTTCGTATGGGAATACAATCAAGTTACGATCGTTGAGGCATTTATATGAATTGCCTTGACCTCGATCTCGGAGATCTCTCTATCCTGTGCCCCTTATGATAATCGCATGCTTCGCTGATCGGGGATCTAAAGGCCCGCACACATAGAATGAGCAATTCGAGTTTGTCAACATTGATCGGGCGCAGGTATTGATCATGTGCATTAGCTGATGACCAAGAAATGGCTTCTACGGAGGGAGTTCCTCCTTCTGGATGTTTTTGTGGTTGCCCTGCACCCAAGCACCAGGCTACAGATCTGATGGCTGCTGACGTGGGAGTCGGTCTAGTCCGAGTATGCCAAAGCCCGCCTGGTTTTGCATTCATCTGCTCCCTACGTATTGACTTGACAGGAGGCTGCATTCTTGGCAGAGGTCAAGGTTCGCCTCGTTTCAGAAAACCCACGCGTTTAACAAATTCCTTTAGAACACATGGCTCATCAGCATCAATGAAAACTGACTTCATCTGTTCAATACCTAGTACATACCTGCTGAACTTGTCATTAATGCGTTTCCAAGAACTCTCTTTCAGGTCGGCTCCCCAAGACCTTATAGCTTGGGTGGCATTTGGTAGTGAATGAAAGTGGGAGCAATGGCTTCTTGACAGCTCGTTTTGATAAATTTTGCGTTGATAAGTGTGACAGATATTTGAACATACAAACAATCCTCATTTATGTTTAAGGGGTGGACAGCTTACACCCTTTCACTTCTTTGGATAACGGAGTAGTAATGAGGCTTCATGTTCCCAGCCACTCGACTTCATCTCCTTGGGGCGGGTTTGAATCGCAGTGAATAATTGACCGCGCCACTCAGGGAGTAGACAGGGGGTGGGGTCGGAGAACAATGCAACCAGGTAGGAGTGGAACGCGAACCACTGGTGGCGAACAACCTGTCGCACGTCTGCTTGCTTACTCAACACTGAGAACGTGGCATTTCAGCTTAATCTAAGTATGCAAGTTTAAAAGTTTGGTTCTTGATATTCAATCATTGATGTGTTGTCGAGGGGCGAAGCAGTGGATTGCTTAACGGGTTAACTGAGAGCCACGCAACTAGATTGAATCAAACAGGGGCCTCTTTACTTGAGTCGCATTGCTTCCAACTCGACGATGCCATATGTTGAGCCAGAAGCTATGGTGTCTCATTTACGGCCTGGAATATGCTGGAGACTTCTGGCCCATGGTTGAAAAGCCAAAATGCAACATTTCTGGGAGTTGCAAGACGATTCCAACTCCTTCAACGAAGACGACGGGAGTAGAAAACGAAACCCCAAGGAGGTCTCTCGACATTCAATTGCAGGTTTTGTGGCATGATGCCTCTCACCCTTCATTTCTTACTCTGATCCTCAAGAATCAGGTGCAACGTCTTGGGGCTAGCGAACGAGTTCTCACAGCATATTCCCACGAATCTCAACTTGTACACCCTTAATGTTCTAATATACCTGCGAACGAATCATGGAGATAGCAGCAAGTGGGTTTGCCTTTGTCCAAGTTGGTGTGGGCGCCGGCAAGGCAATCGTCCAAGCCATCCAGCTGTGGGAGCAAGTCAAACAGGTCCCACGAGAACTCCAATCACGCATTCACAAGTTGAAACTATTCAAGCAGATAATCAGCCAGATCGAAGACGAGTTCGCGCGCCACCCCGACCTGCGCGCGCGCCCGACGGCCCAGCAGTGCCTCGAGCACGTCCGCAATGCCGAGGCAGCGCTCCTTGCGCACGTTGAGAAGATGAGCGCCTTAGTCCAGCGGCCGAAAAGTAAGCTGAAGCGCCATGTCAACTCGTTCAAGATCATCTCCCTCAAGAAGGAGGAGTTGGCGGCGCTCGAAAGCGAGCTTGCCTGGGCGATGGAGTTGATGCAGCTGGCGATTTCCATGTTTCACCTGTAAGCTTCGTGGTCTTCTGTGACGGCGCATCTGCTGATATGAGTGCGCAGGGTTAAAGCTGAGTTATCCGAAGAGATCATTGTCAACCAAACATCGAATCGCGTCAGAGAATATAGCATTGCTTGTCAAGAGGATGTGATACAGAAGACGGCGCAGGCTGTGGTCCAGATGATGAGAGCTGAGTCGTTGCCCATGATAGACGCAATGTCCTCCGGCACTGTAGTTTCTCACAAGGACGATAATTCCGGTCAAACGGAGAAGGGGCAAAAACGTCGTCATTGGCCGTCATATTTCGAAACCACATTATTTGGAAGATATACATTCCGCCGCTCACGAAACGACGAGGGATGGATCGCGTCCCTACAAATCCCCTGGTCTCAACGCGTCACAGAATTGCGCTGGACAGGATGGCAGTATCGCTTCCACTCTTACAACATTCGACCGAAGACCGCGCCTGTCTTTAAAGCTGCTGAGAAAGGGGACATCCGAGAGTTGACAAAACTCTTCAGAACGGGACAGGCCTCGCCCTTCGATAGGAACGAGGCGGGCCGCTCATTACTATACGTGCGTACTAAAATGAAATGTACTCGACGGGGTTGAAAGCTTACACGTACCCAGCTCGCCGCTAAAGAGGAGAGGCTGGAGGTCTGCGAAATGCTCATCAGAAAAGGTGTGCCTGCCGATGATGAGCGCGAGAAGCATGGCTAGTAAGTTGTTCGACTCATCAAACCAGTGAATCTTCTAATCCTGGAGCCAGCAATCCGATAGACGCCATAGTCGTCTCCCGTCAGAACTTCACCGGAGCAGATGACGAAAACCATGCATCCCTCGTCGCTCTATTCGAGTCGGCCGCATATACTTCAGACACTCTCACAGTCAAGCGCCTCTTCAACTTCGTGGCCGAGTTTTCCCAAAGCGACGACTTCCTCCGCGTGTACCAGTCCCAGTTCCTGCGGAACTACCAACGTCTCCCGATAAGAGACCGCGCAGAAGCCGTCCGCCTCGGCTCGTTTCTCGTCCGCGACGCGACGACGTACAGACGCTTGCTCAACCCCGCCACCAAGGCCGTCACGCCCGCGGACACACGCGAGTCTGTGAATGAGAAGCTCTCGCTGGTCCACTCTGCCGCGATAGCTTTGGGCAAGAGGCTCGCGGACGAGCTCCAGTACGACCCGAAGGCTTTCCGGGCGCGGTCGTACACGGATGCCTGGAGCGACGTCGTGATCGAGACGGTCGAGTCTGCGAATAGCAAAGACTTGCACGGCGTGGAGACGGTCGTGCCTTGGGACTGGTTCCGGGTGCCGGTTTGGAGAGGGACACCTCTGATGTCCCTACTGGGCGGCGCTTTGTGCCGCTTGGCGCCCGAGATCCCGATTTCGAAGTGGGATAGCGTTTTCCAGCGTGTTCTTGGACAGTGGCTGCAGGATTTACAAGAAGCGGGCGTGGACTTGTCAGAGTATGGGAAGGGCGAAGTGACGGCTCAGAAGCTGTGCCCAGAGATCAAAGGCGCATTCGACAGCGACGCGATCAACGCTTCTCGAGTTACAGTACGCAATGAGCTACAAGAGCCGAGCAAAGAGTCGTGGATGAACGCTGTCGACGCGGAGTTCGACCAGAGCGACAGGTACTGGATGCCCATTCGCATCATCGCTCTAGACTACGGCCCTCGCGTCAAAGATTGGAGTGTTCGATGGTTGGTAGAGTGGGAGGCTTTTGCGGGGGAGTTCTGGAGGACTGTGGAGGCGCCGAGAGTTACCATGCCTGGCAGTTGGATTGATTGAAGCCATTCGGTTCTTTCACTCGCTCTCTCATTATCTCTGGCCCAACAAAGATTTCCCCATATCTTCTGAGTTGACGGTCACAACCCTGGAAATTTAAGCGCTGCGGAGGGGCTTCGTCGGCGCTAAAACCGGGCCATCTCGGGGCAGGCCGGGCGGCTTTACCGGCCCCACTGGGTACCCCGCCATAGGTGGGCAGGAGCTCCCCCCGCGCATTCGTCATAGCCCGCCCTGATATGCTTCAAGCTCCCGCAGTGCGGGGCAAGGGGCAGATCAGGTCACTCAGCTGTCTGCTACTTCCCATGCTCTAGCTCTCTGGCAGCTGCACCCTTTTGCAAGCAACATTTCGTGGGTTTCTACGATCAATCTCTCACGCGCAGAGGTCTACTCTACCAAACTTCCATTCAACACGCAAACATGGCTTCCGGCAGCACACGTCGGCCTGGAAAACAGGGCGAATGGTACACCGGCGACCCGAACAGGCTGTCCAAGCAGCTCGACGGGTTCTTATCCGACGTCCCGGACCAGATTGACGGCGACGGCTTGCCTGTGCCCGGCGCCAGGGTCATCATCGCGCCGTAAGTCTCTTCCTTTCCCGTGCCAACTATTTCATCAAAACTGCCAGACGATTAACCCCGGGCATCTCGCCAGTCACGCGGGCTACTCCTACTCCGGCCCGACGGCAGCCTGGGCCTACAAGGCCCTCGACCTCTCCAAAGCCAAGCGCGTCTTCCTCCTCGGGCCCTCGCACACCTACTACCTCCGCGGGGTCGCCGTCACGACGTACAAGAACTACGGCACGCCCTGGGGCACGCTGCGCGTCGACGAGGCCGTCACCGCCGAGATCCGCGCCCGGGACGGCGTCGCCGACATGCCGGTCCGGAACGACGACAAGGAGCACTCGCTCGAGATGCACCTGCCCTACCTCTGGCTGCGCCTCGAGCAGACCTTCGGCTCGCCCGACAACTTCCCGCCCGTCGTCCCGATCCTCGTCGGCGACAACAACAAGGCCGAGGAGAAGGAGGTCGGGAAGTGGCTCGCGCCGTACCTCAAGGACGCCGAGAACGCGTTTATTGTCAGCTCGGACTTTTGTCATTGGGGCAGCCACTTTGATTACACGGTGTACTCGCCCGACGGCACGGTGGAGGGGATGAAGCGGCTGCGCGGGTACAGCGCGCCGGATGGGCCGCCGATCCACGAGACGATCAAGATGGTGGACGACCTCGCGATTGAGGCGATCAAGACGGGGAAGCATAGTAGTTTCTACGATAACTTGAAGCAGACGAAGAACACGGTCTGCGGGCGGCACCCGATCGGGGTGACGATGGCCGCGCTGGAGGAGCTCGGCGAGGGGCACCCGGTGTTCAAGTTTGTGCAGTACCAGCGGAGCAGCATGGTGACGGAGCCGAGCGACTCGAGCGTGAGTTATGTCTCGGCGTACGCTGTGGTATGAGGGCTGGGGAGTATCGCGAGAAGGCTTGCTGAGTAATAAGGAGTTTACTGGTTATGGTGTTCAATAGGTTGGGAAGGGGATGGTTCAGGCGTGTGTGGCATGAAGGAGTTTTCTGAGGTGGCTTAGACACGGGTTTCAAACCGACGATATGGCAGGGAGAGCATGACACGCAGAGGAGTTGAAGAGACAAGCTTTTGGTCGCTGTGTAATGCGATGGTGGGGTTTGTGTGCTCATGCAGCATCTAGTTCTTTCAGAACAGACAAGAGAGATTGAGAGAGTTTCTCCGGATTCTTGTTAATCGGTAACATGTCTTCTCGTGTTCGACAACTCGAGCTCGCCAGAGCTTTTCAGCCGAGTTTGTGAGCGCAAACCAGTTCCGAGAGCACGGTAGCGTCAGACCACCGAAGCAGCCTCAGCTTTCCATACCGCAGACATACTTCACAACTTGGTAGGCACGTGGTCTCGCAATCCGTCGAGCAAAACCACTGACGACATTTCGTCCCAAAGTCACCACAGAGTTCAAAGACACCACGACCGTCGCACACGGCCCAAAAGAGACGAAAGGCCAGATCTGGCGTGGTATAAGTAAAACGGCCGCCGCCCGGCTCGCATGAACACGACGGCGCCGCTCGGATCTGATCTTATTCAAGCCGATATTCCGTACTATGCAGCCGGGGAAGGGGGAAGGGCCGTTGGCTGTCCCGTTCGGGATGACGAAGCAGCTCAGATCTTTTCACGGGTGTGGGAGGGGAGGTCCTGGTGGGTGAATGCTGCACAGCCCTATGGAACCCGTCGTTGCCTTTCCTCCCTGCGCCAAGGGATGGAGGGGGGATGTGGTGTAGTCAGCAGCGGTCTTGGGTAGTTGGCAGGGCTACGCATTGCGGGTTTTGTCTGGGTATTCTTGGGATACTTTGTGGAAAGGTGAGGAGCAACGGAACGTGTGATCAAAAGCTTCATCGAGGAAGTTGAGGAGATGGGAAGGCAGACTTGCTTCCCCCTCCTCGGAGATACTGGCGTACCCCGCGCGTCGTGGCGATGCCAACGCCGACAGCGAACAAGATTTCTTCTTTTTTCTTTTCCCTTTTCTGAGAAGAATGCTCAGCATTGACTTTGGCGCAACGAGTGTCCAAATGGGATATTCCCAGTCCTCTGAAGAGGGCACAATTCAGAGTTCTTGGGGCCAAGGATCTGGACCGCCGCTTGAGGCCGGACTGCAGCGGATTCATGGTGCACTCTCCAAGGGAGCACCCAGTAGGAAGTGCTTCGTCCCGGCGGAAGGCGCAGGTGTGAGGCGGGATTGGTAGCCGGCCGGTCGATGTAAATGGGACGGTGTGGAAGGCTGTGTGTCCGTAGGGTGGAAAAACTCCGTAGGACTTTGTATTGATGTCCTTGGCGAGCTGAGCTTGTTAACCCGCGCCTCTTCGTGCGGCTGTGGATTTGATGGGAAGCTCCATAGTAAGCAAAGCTGTCAGGCACCTGCGTTTGCACGTACGGATACACCCCCGGAATGGCGGGGATCAACTTCATCGGCGACGGGGCTGAGAACTAGCTGGTCGGGTGGGCTTTAGCCGTTCGCGGGCAAGTTCGAACCCGCCCAGCCTGCTGACGATGGGGACCGATGAGCTTACGGCTTGCAGCAGACCGAGTCTAAAAGTAGGCGAAGGAAGGTGAGCAGCCGGGGGTGTTTTTTCTGTGGTGTTCCTGACGTCGGGGTTCTTCTTGGGAGCTTCTGGCTACATCATCATTGCTTCCCGGGCGGAAGAAATATTGGATAACGGATGATGGGGAAACTCCAGAGTTTCCCGCACCTTTTTTCGGAGAAGCTGATGGCCAGCTTGGCTTGAAGTCTTGGGTGAGGGTGAGGCTAAGCTCAGCTGTACAGACAGACACATGTCCACGGAGACGGACGGAACTTTGGGGGGGCGCTGGAGGGGTGAGGTGAAGCGAGGGGGGGAGACAACACATGCAGATGGCAAGCCTCTTTCTTTTTCTTCTTCTTCGTGTAGCCTTAGCTCTTTTGGTGGTTTTCCGAGACCGTAAGCTGAAGAGCGGGGTGTGATGGTAGGTGTAGGAAGCTGCCGCTGCTGCAGTCTGCTGCAGCACAGTGGCAGGAAGGATTCTCTTGACTGGATTGTGTTAATTTGGGTTGGGTCTTTTTGTTCCGTTCTGGCCCAGCCTGATTTTCCTTTTCCTTCTTTGGGGGGAGGAGGAGCTGTAGATGAGATGGTGTGTGTGGATGGTTTAAGAGGCGGCGTTCCCATTTTCTGGATTGCTGACGGGGCCTTCTTGGTTTTTATTCCTTTTCCCAATTTTTCCCTCGAAGTGTTTCTCCATCACCCAGTCTTCAATTCCAGCATCACCACTGCCCCCGGTTTCTTGGTGTTGCTTGTTTTCTGGGGCCCGCCCACCGCTCGAAACACACAGTCACCACCATTCGACAGTCATTGGAAAAGCAAAAAAAAAGGTCCAATCAACCGATTGGAAAAGCAAAAAAGCCAACGTCTCAGAGATAGGTGAAGGTGGTTGATTCGACTCGCTCACAACGACCGTCGTGGGCATTGATCGACCCGACCCGTCCACACACACACCACCGAAGGCATTGAAGCCAGGCATCACCACTGCGGGCCAACACGAACACGCAGTGCACCACCATCCGCACGCCAGCAGCGCAGGAAACAAAAAGGAATCCAGCGAAACGAACCAGTATTGTCAGGAGACCTGATTGGACAGCAATCTGCGTGCGTGAGTTTCAACGGCACCCTCAGCAGCGGCTTTTCGTTGGCCGGTAAAAAAAGACGCTGCGACGCAGAAGCGGCCAGACGGGACGCGATTCGATTCGCTCACGACTTGGGCCGTCGACGACATCCCTGCAGCAGCAGGCTCAAAGTTGCCTCCTCCCTCCGCCATTGCCCATCGATAGTTTGCCGGCGCAGTGTCGTCACGAGACCGCTCGAAGCCGCAAGTTCAGCAACCTTTGGCAGGCTGTGCATTGGTTCAATCAGCACCTCAGCAGCGTTAGCCTTCTGGAGTCTCTGGGTTTTGCATTTGCACACTTGGCACGAACGGTCAGTCAGCGAGCAATACAGTCAGGAAAGCAAGCAAAAGCAAGCAGCTTAGGCATAACGGAGCACCAAAAGCCAAAAGTTGCACAGGCCTCACCTCATTCTTTAACAGAGAAAAGGAGGGGGAAATTCAGTCAGCAACCGTCGCCCGACGTCACCAGTAATCGCCTTTTTTGGGGTTGGCGCATTAACTGATCGGGCCCTCGTCCTCGCATCTCCCGCGCGGCGCCTCAAGTTTATTCGCTTCGGGCGTGTTACACCACACCCGAAAGAGAGCAGCGACTCGACGAAGTAACAACTCGCGGAAGGTAGTCCAAGTAGGGGAGTCCAAGCTTCAGGGTCCATTCATCGCCCCGCCCGCCGACCAATCAGAGGCGCTGCAATTGCCCTGAGTCGAGACACCACCCACTGGGAGTCTGGGACCGTCCTCGCTCTTGGGAGGAGTTCCTGCACGCAGCACGCAGCACGCATCCGCGCCCCTTTCTCTTGCGTGTGTTGCATTGCCCCTGTCACTGTCACCACTTTGGACCTTGGTAGGTGCCAAGTATCTCGAACCATCAAAAGTTACTCGACCACGAATAAGTACATACTCAGGACAACACAACATACAACAAACTACAGCATACTGCAGCAGTCTTACTCACGACGACGGCCATCAGTAAGAAAAGGACGACGACGAAATACGAACAAAAATAAACCAGCCCTCTGCAACGGCTGCCTCTCATAATCAACACGGACCCTCCATCATCTCTCGCTACCTAAACGGCGATCATTCCGCAGCCAGGGCCCCCCCCCCCCCCCCTTCCCAGCAGCTGCTCACAGACAATTCGAATTTCTGCTACAAAGAAGCGCCTCAAGCCACACCTCCCGCGCACCAGCACTGAACCCAGCAGCAACAGCCAAGCAGCAAGCAGCAGCAGCAGCAGCAGTGCACTACCATCAGTCAATCAATCAATCCAACGTGGAATCTAATCCAAAGGTGGCCCGGCCCATTCGCACCTCCTCGCCTCGTCTCGCTTCGTCCCCTGAACAATCCACATCCACCCAGACAGAGAGAAAGAGAGCCACCCCCGGCCCAGCGTCGCTTTCCCTGTCTCCTGGTTCCTCTCTGTTTTATCCACATCCACCACCGAAAAGAGACACCAAGACCTTTTCTCGTCTTCTCATCGCTGTCGCTGCCGTTACGCTGTCACTCTTGGACACTGCAACATTCCATCTGTCGACAAAATCCGTCTCATCTCCCTCCTTGGAAACAGCCCATTCTGCCCGTACTCAATTGCTTCTACCACCTACCTCATCGATACTGCCTGCCTGTCAACCGATCTACGTACCAAAGAAATAAAACACAAAGACAAAAAAGGCATTGATCGATCCAGCTTCTCTCCTTTGCGTCGCGCGACCGACGACACCTCGAGACTGCGAGAAATCAATCCTCTTTGAAAAATCGCCCCGTCGTCGCGCAAGGAAGAAGCCTACGCGCTTCGCAGAAGCAGCCATGAGTGTCAGTGTTTCACCCCAACCCTCGCACTTCCGGCGTTTCGACCGCCGCCCTGTTCCTGTTCTCTCCCAGTCCCTTTGCACCCATTGCACCCATTGCACCCACTGCCCTGCCCTACCGACGTTGCATTGCGTCGTGCCTTTCTCTGCCATTGGCCTGACTCTCTGTGTGTCGCGCTGTGCCAAACCCCCCAGAGCCACAAGGCACATGTTCTGGCCTTTCTTCCCCCCTTCTCGAAGTCGAATGTCCTCCACCCGGCCGCTCCCTTTTCCGCAATCGCAACCCAACCCAAACCCCCCCCAAGCACAATCATTTTGACTTTGGATCGATCACCAACCTTTTTCTGCACATCATTCATTCTTGCTTCAGCCTGGTTGCGTTGCATTTGTATGGTGTTGCTTGCTTTTTACCACTCTACCGCCTTTCTCTCGACCTCACCTCCCTACCTCTCCTAATCCAGTCCTCCACCGGTGTCCGAAGCCGAAACTAACATCATGGCACAGTACGGGTACGTTTCTCTGTCTTCAGGAGCCGACGGCGCCCACGACGACGAATACGACCTCTCCCGCGGTAGACTAACAGACTCAACTAATGACAGATACGGTGGTCGTCAAAACCCCTTTGACCAGCGCGATGACTCCCCTTCAGGAGGCGGAGGCTACGGCGCCCCCATGAGAGGCCCTCCCCAGCAGTCTTTCGGCTCAGGGCCGTCTCCCTACGGAGGATCCAGATATAACAACGGACCACAAATGGGTAGGGACCAATACGGTATGCTCCAAGACCGCGACGGTCGTCCTCGCTCGCATCGCTCACACGCGTCCCTCGCAGGAACGAACGTCGAGATGGAATCCCTCGCCCAAAACGCCGGCGGCTTCGGCCAGTCCTCCGACCCTAACGCGATCCTGAACGAGTGCCGATCCATCGACCAAGGCATCGACCAGATCGAGCAGAACCTCAACCAGCTCCGCATGCTGCAAGAGCGAACACTCACCGACGCAGATACCTCCGCGAACTCCGCCACCGCCCGCCAGCTCGACGCCCTCTCCTCCGAGACGATGACCCAGTACCGCTCCCTCACAGACCGCGTCCGCCAGGTCAAGTCCACTCCCGAAGGCCAGACGCCCAAGAACTCGCCGCAGGTCGGCCGCGTCGACCGCCGCCTGAAGGGCGCCATCCAGCAGTACCAGCAGGTCGAGTCGCAGTTCCGCAAGCGCACCCAGGACCAGATGGCCCGTCAGTACCGCATTGTGCGCCCCGACGCCGACGAGCGCGAGGTCCGTGAGGCTGTGGAGGATGCCGGTGCCGGTGCCCAGATTTTCCAGCAGGCCGTCATGCAGTCCGGTCGCCAACAGCAGGCCAACGCCGTGCTGTCTGCCGTCCAGGACCGCCAGGCTGCCCTGCAGAAGATTGAGCAGCAGATGGTCGAGCTGGCCCAGCTCTTCCAGGACATGGACGTCCTCGTCGTCCAGCAGGAGGCCGCCGTTACGCAGATCGAGCAGAAGGGCGAGGAGGTCGTCGAGAACCTCGACAAGGGTAACCAGGAGATTGGCGTGGCCGTCAACACCGCGCGCAAGACCCGCAAGAAGAAGTGGTGGTGCCTGGGCATCTGCGGTAAGTGCTCCAGCGAGGCTATGTTCCAATTTGCCACTAACTCAGCCCAGTCCTCATCATCGCCATTATCGCCGCCGTCGTCGCCATCTACTTCGCCGTCATCAAGCCCGGCCAGACCGCTGCCGCCCCCGCCGCCGGCAAGCGTTCACTCGAGCTCGGCTCCCTCCCCGCCTTCTCCAACAGCGTACCCGTCGACGTCAGCTCCGTCCATCCGCAAAAGATCAGCCGCATCATGCGCCGAATCGTCACACCAGGCGCCACGTGGAGCCCCGACGCCGTACAAGACGCCGCTGTCGTCCCCCGCGTTGGTGGAAAGTGGGACATGCCCGCCGTCCGCAACTAGACGTCAAACCCTGCCTCTCCGACACTGTACAAAATATACCTCCATACCACCTTTAACCGGCCGCCTCGAGGGGCCGCCATGTCTCCTTATCCCGTATAACCCGTCCCTCCGACTTGACGTCTGGATCGATTTCTCATAACCGTTTACCACCATAAGAGTTACTCGCCTTTTTATAGACGGACTGGATCAAAGGGAAGGCAAAACTTCTTTTTTACTTCTGCAGCAGTAAACACACATGCGTCTCTCTTCCGGCTTGGATGGAATAACAAAACCAAGGAAAGGGAAGAGAGCAGATGATGGGGGAAAGGATCCCGGGAAACCCAGGCCTTGGGGATTTTGATATTTTTCCCTGTGTGAGGAAGCAAAACAAAAGAAGGATTGTTTCGTATAGGGTGTTTCTTTGTATACCCACCCGTAACCAGACTTTCTTTTACTGTTTGCCATGTTGGACTTTTTTTTCTTGCTGTCTGTGAAAGTGCGTCGCGTCTTTTGGATTCAACATATTCCCTTCTATGAATGAGAGGGGGCATGGTAGCTGTTTTGGCGCGAAAATTCTTTGCTTTGTTGCATCCTGGGCGTTGGCATGTCGAGTAAATATAGTCTGGTTCCGAATTGACATTATTAATATGATTGAAGAGTCTTTGTTTTCAAGTGAAATGTCGTGAGATGACAGCCTGGAGAGGCCAGGATTTGGTATGTCTGGAGGTGAGTGGTGTCTGTGAGAGGCAAAGCAAGACGGATTGCGCCTGGGAAGCGAGGCCTTTGTGATGGCCCCCAAAGCATGAACTGGTTAGGTACCAGGGTAGGTTTGGGGTCTTTGGGGTGGAAGGCTTCTTTATAAAGAACGCGGAGTTCCAGAATGTTGGTTCTCTAACAATACACCTCCCCGAGCCAGTCTGGGCAATGGGCGTCCTGTAACCATGGCAAAAGGCCCTTTGTCGTATTTTGGCGCAGTGAGTGAATGGACTGATGGTTGGGGAGAAAAGGTGAGTTAGGTGAGGTGTTGGGGATTGTGATGGGTTCTGATGTCCGTCACGCGGGTTTGGAGGTTTGTGGGTATTTGGACGGATACGCGCGAAGTGTGGTTTTGAGAGGTGGGAGTTAGCTGAGGTGATGGCAGTGGATTCACAGTATTAACGGTGAGGTGTAAACAATGCAAAAGTACTGTTGCATTTGTGGCTCCTTGGAAAAGGAAAAACGCTTGCTGTTAAGGATGATGTTCTTTTGTGTTAGTTGCTCACTGCGCAGCATGTCCTCAGGCTAGTGTGAATCTATTTAAGGGGATCTTGATGGGGTTTGGAATTGTTTGATCGCGCAATGGGCGGCAGGGGGTTGCGACCGAATGCCTTCTTGGGGGTTCTAGGTGACGAAATGTGAGAGAAGTCTGGATGGGAGTCTCTTGGGTCTCTTGCGTGTGGGTATTAGTGGGTGGTTGGGGGCTTTGAGGACTGGTGTGTTTTTTGTCCCGCGCGATGGTCATTTCTGATAGTTTATTCACTGGGGGTATTCTTCGAGTCAGAGGTGGGGAGATTGTATTTCATAGAGCTTCGTGGGAGTTGAGCGCTCCAGATTCAAAGGTCCAGATTCAGAGGCGGGATGAGTCCGATGTCCAGCGCACCCCTCCGCAACTTCTTGGGGATCTAGCATGGAGTTCTGCCAGAAGACACAGAGCCAACTGTGATCTTACTTTTCGCACCCAACGTACATCAGAGCCATATTGTCACTGAGTCTGGTCTCCTCTCAAGCTTCTCGAGCTACCCACTCCGTAACGTAGCCCATGGTAGTTACCCCGCCCGACGCATCTTTGTGTTTCCTGATGCTCATCCCGGGCACTTCGAAGAGTCGTGCCGGAGCGTCGTGGGACTCGTTCGTTTAATTGATGCATAACCTTGCATATGGTGCTGGTCAAACGATTAAGTTGAGCAGGGGCGCGACCTACATGGTCGCACTCACAGGACCATTTCTTGACATTAAGGTTTTGGCGGGATCGACAACACAGGTTAGACTCGGTTCGAAATGCAGCTTTTGTCATCTATTTGTTCTTGCAATAGCAAGATGCCTCAGTTTGTAGCGGCTATCTCAGTAGCAACGTGCGAGTATTCAAAACGCCCCCGAAGTTATATGTGACCATGCCCGCGCGAACACGAAAGAAAACTTCCTAGCAGGGAGGTCTAATTCTGCGGTATTCAGACCAAACAATCCAGTGTTCCATCTCTTCATCATCCCACGGGACGAGGTCCTCTTCTCTGACCTTCCCAGGAGAGTCAAAATCATCCTTCCAACCCCCGGGGATGCTGACGACCGGGTTCTCAACCATGCGCCAAAAGTCCCCGGCATATTCCAGGCCATAGACGGACCACCATACTTTCCACTGTTCAGGCAATGCCCCGTATGTGATCCCAACAACTCTGAAATAGGTATACCAATGACCCGCCTCTTGAATCCTGCATGGGATTCTTCCCTCTCGACCACAAAAGTTGGAGCACCTTTCTCTGTGGCCATACTCCGAAAGGTTGACCCCATTGGTGTATAATATGTTTACCCAAGACCTTATAGCTGACTGCAAGATGCAGTCAAAATCCTGAGGAGAATGTGAATGAAACTCAGTCATTATGACCCAGAGCATCATAACAAGCGATGTCTTCCTCTCAATTGTATTTAACTTCTCTGACAAATCTCCAGGTTTGAATTTTGCAATTTCACCGAGAACGTGATGGTAACTGCTTTCCGTTTCGAGATGGGGTGCTTCGCCGTTTGATTCCAAAAGCTCCCAGCCTACTCCGAGCCCAACCAGATGCGAAAGGGCGAAGCTCTCTTTTGAAATGATATGGAAAGACGTGATCACCTCAGTGGTGATAGATTCAATTTCTGGTAGTAGGCACAAAACGTCCCCGAAAGTACAGTGCACCTCCGACAACAGTTTCCAGCAATGCCACAGCCTAGATGGAAGCGGTGCTGAGGGCAGTTCAGGACTCATGATCCTTTGAATCTGGCGATACTGCTCAAAGGTTCTGTCCAACACTATCAGGATCCATATTTCATCATCCTCTTCAGCGATGTCTGGCGTGTAGTCCATAAGAATCCTTAAGATTTGGACATTACGTTCGAGTATGTCGGAATGCCAGGGATCAAACAGCAGCCATTCTAGTGGAGTCCTTCGAATTCCGCCAGCCTATCAAGATTCATATTTGCAGGGAATCTTGTGTCGCTCACCTGGCAATTAAACTTGTTGAAATCTTACTACTCGATGTTTCTGACCATTCACCGAAAGATCCAGGGTATAAACCGGCGCGCAAAAGCCATCGTGATATCTCGACAGCGCCGCGTTCTACAGCATACTTCCAAGTGAATTTTGGGGAGCAAAACTATCAAAAAAGAAGATCTGGTCCTTAAAGGGCATAGAAAGCCTTCCGGTACACTTACCATTAGTAGATTACAGCCGTCTTGGTTGTGAACATACGGCGTCAAATTTGCTTCCTGAAGACACCTTTGCAAGGCGAGAACATCGTCGTTCACCGCAGCGTTTAGAACGCCATATGGAATTAGGTCTACCACCGCGTCAGATGATAAGTTTAGCTGCCAACCTGACACACTCTGCTGGGCCATCACAGAGTACACAGTATTTCCGAGCCAATTTGGGGTGCGAATGGAAATGTGACAGGTTTGATGGCCGAGACCAAACAGAAGTCTGCCGAGGAGGGTGGTGCCTTTGGAGATTGCTGTGAAGTCTGGCTTGGACTGTTTCCCAAGATATGACTTGCTAAGTCTGAGAGATCTGAATGCATCATCCCCCGAGGTCGAGAGATTTTCCGATGGAGTATCGGTCGTGTCGGGTTTCTGCAGGGGCGGGAGAAGTCGATGAGCGTTTATGGAAGCACATGTCTTGCTACGCAAAGGTCCAAAGTCAGCGTCTTATGAGAAACGAAGAACCACAAGGGCCTTACAAGATGTAACGGTTCTCAGCCATCCTGTAAAGACGCAGAGCATTATCGAGTTTCCGCTCCATCGCTACCAGACTGTCCTTCTGAAGCACAACTCTAGCGGCTGCGAACCTTCGCCTATGTCGTCGTTTGTCCTCAAGACTGCGACTATGCGCATCCAGAGTCATTTGTAAGTCTTCCATCGCAGCGCGAGCCCTCCCCATGGCCTTCTGCATGATGGTATCGTTCCATGCCGGTGTCGGCAGCGGATTGTTGGCAGCGTGAATCTCGTCATCGCGGAGAATTTCATCGAGATGTTGGAGCTCTTCCGCCTTCTCTAGAAGAGCGGCTGGCACGTCTTTGACTTCGTCCCAGAGACATTTGAGCTTGAAGGTTAAGGTGACAGCTTTGCCCGCCAGGTCGATCACGGCGATCACGCTGGCCGCAGTACCGAGAGCTTCTGCCATGACGATAATAGAGTCCAGGTAAAGTCGATGCGCGATTGAGGGTTGATGCGATTCGAGTGGGATGAAGAGTGAGAAATCGCACAACTTCATCAACGTTACGGGTCGTCCGGGTATGCCCACAGCCTGATCTGCCACACCTCCATGCTGGGCAGGGCTGCATGTCAGCAGGCGCAGTATTGGCTTAGGAACATCGGCCCCCATGGTCATCTGGTACTCGTGCATATGCAAGTAGACTGCGCCGAAAAACAGCTGCGGGAATTATGGATGTCGACTTCGGGGGGGGGGGGGGGGGTCTTCTGTCACTGGCTTTCCGCGGTTGCACGGCCGCTCAGCTGGAGCGGAACAAGTTGCCTGCCCATCTGTGGAATACGCCTAGCTTACGAAGAAGCGGCATACTGGATATCCTTTTGCGAGGAATCACCTCCCAGACTTGCAGAACTTCGTGGAACTCTTTGCCTTGCGTCGCAGTTCAGCATCTGACGGCCTAGCAGGCCCCCAATGCGCTATCGCTGACAAGACTACTGACTTACTTCTCATTTTGAGGCCGTTCACAGGTAAGAAAACAAAGACTAAGTAGCTATTTTAGAGAAGCATGGAATTTTTCGGAATGAATGGGAAGTATCAGCCCACCCGAAATTGAATTCCTAAGTTGTTCTTCATACCACACCTGTGCATCTCGACCCCAATACTGGACTGCCCCACGAGCCAAATCAGGTATCTGACGTAGGGCTCTAAACAGGAAGAATAAAAATCAAATTGGAGGTCTGTTCTTGCGATATTCCGACCAAATGAACGGGACTCTCTCCTCATCTTCACCGCCATTCTCGCCGTCAAAGTCGTCTGTCCAACCTCCCGGGACGTTGAAACCAGAGGGAGCTGAACCTGGATTTTCCACCATATTCCAAAAGTCTGCCGCGTAATCATTGACATTCGGAGCCCACCATAATCTCCATTGCTCGGGCAATGAGCCGTACGTGATACCGAGAAAGGAGCAGGTGTAAGGGATCCCAATCAGATACCTATCTTCTGAAGTCGGCACACGAAATGGTCATTTCTGATACGTACCAGCCGAGATCTTGGTAGTGATTTCTCTCTTTTCGACCATAATGCAAGAGATCAACACCACTGTCGTAGAGAGCGGTCGCCCAATGTGTAATTGCTGACCGAAGAAGCTGATCAAGGACTTCGGGCGGATTCCAGTTCCAGGTTAATCGCCGGAGAAATCTGTACAATTGTGTAACTCCAGCCATGCCCAAGTAATTGCCTTTGAGAGGAGATATGATGTCTTCCGGGTCAATCCGGGCGATATCGCTCAGAACTCGATAGAAGCTGCAGTTCACTGGCAAAATCGACCTTCTGTCGTGTAGTCTTCGGAGATCTCTGGACAGACCTGTTGCTGCTATTACTGGAAGCCCCATCTCCCACTGGTGACTTCTGCAGATTTCGATGAGGTGTTTGGTGAGAGTCTCGGCTTCGGGTAAAACCTTTTTGACTTCGTGCCAACTCCAATCGCTGAAACTTACGCCATCGCATGCGTGTGCATATCTCGTGTACAGATCAAAAGCGGAATAGCGAGGTTCTATCACCATTTGTAATGCTGTGAAATCCTCATATGATCTGTCCGAGATCATTGTAGCCCAAATCAGATCAAATGACTCAATCGTGTCGGGCATATAATCCTGACAAAGCTTGAGGATCTCAACTTGATGACTTTGCTTCTTTGAATCAAACTTCGCGATATAAAACTCAACAGGTGACCTTTTGGGGCAGTTAGCAAATAGCTTTTCAGCAAGCAGAAGGTATATTCTTGCACATACTCTGCCATTGAAAGAACATAGCCAGCATCGCATTCATCGAATGAGCCTGGGTGCAGGCCACAGCTCAAGAGCCACTTTGCTGTCCCAACAGACTCGTCTATTAAAGCAAACTGTTCATGACACAATTAGCATGCAGTCTCAGAAAAAGTAGAAAAAACCACAGAGAGAGATTATTATACTAACGTGGAGCAAGTTAAAACCGTAACTGTTATGGACGAATGACGTGAGGTTGTTTTCGCAAAGATACTTTTGCAAAGCAGTAATGTCGTCTTCCTGTATTATATCGAAGACTTCGTCTTCGAAAAGGTGAATGGTGGGATACACTGAAAGGAAGGATTGCCAGCCAGCAATGCTCCTTTGGACCATTGCAGAGTAAACCTTCCCACCCAGCCAGTCTGGGACTCTCACAGAGAAGCTGTAGATTTCGTCGTAGTAGCCGAAACACAATCGACCCAGTGCTGAAGGACCCTCAAAAATGGCTTTCGTCCTTGGCTTAGCAGCCTTGACTGTAATAATCTGACTCGAGCTATAGCCTTTGGAGTCTCCTGGATCGATGACAGGGCTCTGGGTGGTTGCGGAGATGACCACAGCACTCATTGGCTCGGCGAGCTGTTTGAGGATCAATCTGCCATATCGGCTGACACAGCAATGTCAGACTTCTGATTCTCAGCAAGCATGTGCTCAAGGAAGTTTGCCCGTAAACGACGTCATTAGCAAGCTTGTAGAGCTCTAAAGCCCTGTCAAGCTTTTGCTCTACCGTCCTGAGGTTATCTTTCTGGATGACGACCTTGGCAGCAGCGATTCTGCGCCTGAATTGCCGCCTGTTGGCTAGTTCTTCTGTGTATGCATCGATCGTGCTCTGAACATCGTTCTTGGCAGCGCGAGCTCGGTTAATGGCGTTCCAAATAGCAGTTGGCGTGGAATCTTCTGCGGCATCTTGTTCTGCTAGGCCAAAAAGCTCTTCGGGATGTTGGAGATACTCTGCCTTGTCGATAAGGGTGACCGGCACATCTTTGACCTCTTCCCAGAGCGCCTTGAGCTTGATGGTGAGGGAGATCGTCTTTCCAGCGAGGTCGGCAACAGCTATAACGCTGGCGGCAAGACCCAAGCCTTCCGCCATGGCGCTGTTCAGACTGGGTTGAGGATGAAAGCGGGCAGAAGAGAGATTTCGGAAAGGTCTTGGGCCTCGGTGGGGATATTCATGGGAGGAGAGCCGCAGCCTGATTTCATATCCAACTCACTAGGGTGGGGTCGGGTGTCAGCACATCTGAAATTGGCCGCGGAGCAGAGAGTTTCTGACCATTCAGCATCTGGAGGCAGTGCCCTGCGCCTCATGTCGGCGGCTGTACAAGGCTACTTGCATGGCTTTCTTGTGCGCTCCTTGCATTTCGCGGTCACTGGGCTTGCCGAGTGGTGCCAAGCTGTTGTGTGAGCTCCCCTTCAGGCCAGAGGTTGAATGCAATGCTTCTCGTATTTCTCCAATAGTGGTATCCTCCGGTATCATGTGATGTATATACTAAACGCCGAATCAATAGCAGCCTGTCATCCACAACGCCCTGCCTTGCAAAGGAATCCAGCCCCTAATTCAAGAAACAACCGCTCAAAACATTCGCATCGATGATATGGCCCAAGCAGGCGTGCTCCCCGTCACCCATGACTTGCTGCCAGAGCAGTGTAAACATCTTCTCTGCTCTCCAAGGTTCGTGATAGAGCACTGCGAGCAGACATGCTTCCCACATGCGCCGCAAGCGTTGTCTCCTTCGCATCCGTCAATCTCCATGCCGTCAGCGTCAGCCGAGGCAAGCCCGGCACCGCAATCCTCGCAGCTTGTAGGGCTCAACGCTCTCTGGTGGACCGGCGGGCTGGCCGTCCTTGACACGGGAGGTTGCGCGGACTTGATGTTCCAGAAGCTGTGGAGAGACTTTTGTGTATTGCGTGCGACGGCAGGAGCAGGGGCAGGTGACGATGAAAGCTCGGTTTCCATATGTTGATCTTGTTGTTGAGCGGAGTACAGCATCTGGAGCGTGCGTTCTGTGTTGCGATTGATCGTTAGCGCATGATTTGACGGTAATAATATCATTGACTCTACTCACGATGAACCTCCTCCTGCGAAGGTCGGTTGTCGCGGAACCGTTTCCTCGTTCGGCTGTCGAGATGTGAGGGTGTCGTGAATGCGCGAGGGAAGGCCAGGCTGGGTGAGATCGGGAAGTCGAAGGACTCGACGCTGGAGTCGGAACGGGCGGGGGAGTTGAAAAGCGTGACAAGCTCGGAGGCGGAGCGCTTGCGCTTGAGGGCCATTGTATCGATTTCGGAAGCGTTTGAAGGGGAATATGTGCGTATGCTGTTCGCAAGAGTAGCGGAAGTGGTACACTGCGGCGCAATGACTGTGAAGATGGATTGACGATGTTTGTGTCTATCGGCTGTGGGAATGTTTGGGACGGACAGGGTGGGTGATATTCACGGCGCTAAGAAATGGAATGCGCATTGGATGGTCTGGTGCGGCAGGCCTGGCGCGGCGCGTACTGCTTTCGCGTTGCGGTCGCGACAGGACCCGCTGGGTGTTTAATGGGCCCACAGTGGCTTCCTCGACATGGGCTGAAAGGGCTGAAGTCGCGCTGGAATTTTATGCACATCATCGCGAACGCCACTTTTTTTGGCCTTGGGTGTTTCTTGTTTCACACACGGTGGAATTTGAGGGGCAATGGCTCAATCTTGATCATCTTGATGGCTTGTTTCTGACCGCCGGCGTCAATGCCCGCGCCGGGTCCGGACCCGACGTGTCTCCACTCGCCCGCCGGCCCCGGGATCGCTCGGACCAGGGTCGCCGTTCTGGGTTGTTTGTTGCTAGTCCTGCTTCAAAAGGCATCATGAGATTCAGGAAATGTTACCGCAAAATTCATCGAAGCTCATTCTAGTGAAAATCAGTGTCTCACTTTGTTCGGTGACCTCTCCCTTTCCCCAATTGACAAGAGTGACGAAATGCCGTTGTCGGTTGGAGCATCGGTCGCCGGAACTTGAGCGCACCCAAAGTCCTTTGAACAGACTGCGTTGTGGTTCTGTAAATCGAGAAACAAAATAAATAGAGTTACGCCAAGAGCACAGAGGACCTGATGAGATGAACGGCCCAGAGGGCGGAGGACTTGATTCGTACAACTGGCCGGCGGGATGAACTAGTTCGGCTCTCAATGCTTGGATTCGCCGTCAGATGGGGCACCTCTGGTGAAAGACCCATAGCGATCGTTGGGAACTCATATATGTCAAGGGTTGCATTGGAGGTTCGGACAAATCGCTTTGTCCTTTGGCCGTTGACAAATGGATCATCGGCGCCTGGAGTGTAACTCGGCGCCGACAGTCGACGTCGTCTGCTATCTTAGACGTTTCCAATGGGTATAAGAGATGAATACATGAGGCCATAGAGGGAGTTTGAAGGCATCAGAAGCAGGCAAGCACCCAAAAAAGGATCGTTCTTTGTTCAACATCACAATATGAAGTTCATCTCTCTCGTCGCGGCGCCCCTCGCGCTCCTCTGTGGAGGCATGTCTTCTCTATAATCATTGAGAATGATTGACCTAATAGTCTTAGTCGCTTCGTCATCTCCTCTGACCTCTCGAAACGAATCCAAGATCTTCGTTGGGCAGGTCACCGACACCTTCAACGCCTCTGTCGGGACCGTTTGGGGGATCTACTCAGCCTTCGGAGCCGCCCAGCTTTATATGAAGAACGTCACCATCAACGAACTCACCGGTTTTGGTCCCGGCGCTGTCCGAGACATTACTCTGGCCGGCCAATTTGCTCGCGAGCGACTGGACTGGGTCGATGCCGATAAACACTCCCTGGCTTATACGCTCTACGAAGCTCCCGGCTTGCCTGCGGTCAACATCCAGGGCACGATTGAGTTGAATGACATTGGGAACAACAACACTAAGATTGTGTGGACCGCGAGAGCGGATGTGATTACCGCAGGTGCTGAAGATGGTATTAAGGCTAGGGTGCTGGACATTTATACCAGCTCTATCGCGATCGTGAAGGGGCTTGTCTAGATCGTTGACGGGCAGTATAGCAGGGATTAGTCCTTCACTCTGATCAGTAGCCTACCAAGGCCACCCTTCCCGGTGTCGACCTTTACGCATTCTTCCCGGATAGACTCGATGTCAGATAGATCCACCGTACGAAAGACTGCTTTCACCTTGCCAGTAGCAATCATCTCACCAGCTCTCTCTAAGTCTTCTCTGATCTCCGGATTACCCGACACGAATTCGTGTTGGATGTTCGTCCCTCTAAACTCGAAAGCGTACCACCACTGGACCAGGTCTAACATCCAAGCTAGCCAAAGCGGAACCATGCCAGGCCCCATTATCTCTCTCACCAAAGGTGATGGGGGAATTGAGGCAATGGACATGATGACGCCTGTCTTGGGGTTGAGAAGGGGTATCGCTGGGTTCATGCTGTCCCATTGCGTGTTGAACATGAAATCCACACTGCCCTTGGGAACGGCGTCCGTCAAGCTCGTCGTCTTGTAGTCGATAAGTTGGTCCACCATCCCGGGAAGATACTCTTCAACAAGCTTCAGCTTTGGTGTCGAGACTGTGGAGATGATTTTCGCTGCACCGAATACGTTTTTCGCAACCTGGATCCCGCTGAAGCCCCCTCCGCTTAAGGCAGCTGGGACGTACACGGTCTTTCCTTCAAGGCTCTCCCAACCGGCTAGTTCAAGACCGCGCTTGATGGTTTGGTACGCCGTCACAGTGTACCCTGGAAGTGCGGCAGCTTCTTCAAAGCTTATTTGTGGCGGCTTTGGGAGCAGTAATCTCTCATGCGTGATTGCATATTCGGAGCAGAAACCTGGGTCCGGATTGCTGAAGGCGGGGCGGACGACGCCGTGTCCGTAGACTGCATCGCCGACCTTGAAGCGCTTGACTTCTGAGCCGATTGCAACGACGATGCCAGCGCCCTCACAGCCAAGTTTCACGGGGAATCTAGAGAATGGTCAGTCATTCCTTGACCAAAATGATTCGCAAGAGGTAGGGCACAAACGTCTCTTTTCGCGAGGCAACGATCCGAGACCCCACAGCCCGTTGGCAATCGCCCTTCATAATCGCTCCGGCATGCACCCGAATTATCACCTCCGTAGGATTCGTTATTGTCGGGAGGGGCACTTCGGCCACCTCGAAGCCGACGGGGGTGCAATGCTGCAGCGCCACTAGGGAGCGCATCGTTTGAGGAAGGTCGCTCATGGTTGCCATGCTACAGAAAATACTGAGACAAGGAAGGAGGAAAAGCTAAGTGCAGCCGGGAACTCTGGGCTTTTAATGCGCACGTCCGGCCCGGCTGTTTGGAAAGTTCGGTCGGCGGTTCGGTGGGGCTGTTCGGCGGTTTCGGTGGCATGGCCCCACTAACGACGCCGAACCCACGGCCGGTTGGACAGACTTACAATCTGCTCCAAAAGCCTGCGTTCTACACAGGCTCAATCTTACTTGCACCAAGATTGATCAATTTCAAGATTCTCAAAGAAAATTTGGTCAACTGCCAACGATGCGTCGATCCTGAAGACACCAGCCTCCCGATGAGATGTCGCCCTTTAGTCGGCTTTGGTGGTGGCGGGCTGAGTCAAGGGGCCGTTCTCGCCCTGGGAAACCGGAGGAGGGGCACGCTGGTTGGAATAGTCGAGTTGGCAGAGCCGTCGTCTCAGACCCAGAATCTTGGAAACTGCTAGTTTTGGCTTGTCGAGGGAGAAATATTTCTGCAGCATTTCTTTTCTCAGGCTGCGCCGCCAATGCCAGGACCGCAGGAGACGGTGCAGTCGCGATGGAGGGGTGCTCTTTCCTCTCGGCAAGTGCGGTGGGAGCGCGACTTACATTTGGTATTTAGAGAAAGAGGGACCAGAGTGGAGAGGAAGGAGGAGCTGGAGGAAGATTTCATCATCGAGCCTTCTTTCTTCTTTCTTCTTCCTCTGGGCTACTTCTCTTTGCGTCACTGAGGGATCGGGCGCTTCGAATTCTTCAAATTTCTGCTATTTGACGAGAATTTCTTCGACATTTTCTGACCCCGGCCGGTCTGTGGGATCGTCAAATGCGATCTTCGTCAAATTTCTCGGCTAGTTACTCTCCGGTGCCACGCAAACCGCAGTTCGCAATGCGTTTCCTTCTGTTCCTCACGTTCCTAAGCGGCGTAGTCTCGCGATGCTCCGGGTTCGACCCGAATTCGAAGAATAACGTTGTTGTCTACTACGTATGTCTCTTCACTCCATATTGAGTGAACTCTCAAGCTGACTCCCACACAGGGGCAAGGACCTAATCAGGGCGACCTGATAGAGCAGTGTCAGCAACCCGAGATCGATGTCATCGTTCTGTCCTTCGTCCACCTCTTCCCGGCGCAAGCAAACGGTTACCCGGGTACGAACTTCGGCAACCGTTGCGGTGGGGAGGTTTACCCAGGTCCCGGATGGAATGGTGTGAACGATCCGTCAAAGGATCAGTTGCAGTCCAACTGCCCGACACTCAACGCCCAAATCCCCGTGTGCCAGCAGCAATACGGCAAGAAGATCATCCTCTCTTTGGGAGGTGGTGTAACGAACTATCAACTCACGGGCAGAAACGAGGGCGAAGTCCTGGCGACATACCTCTGGAAGATGTTCGGTCCCCAGAGCGCTGATTGGACAGGTCCACGTCCGTTCGACAATGCCGGGCAGGCAGTTGAAGTGGATGGCTTTGATATGGACATTGAGTGGCCATCAACTGGTAAATATCGCCTTTTCCCGTATTTGTTCCTACAGAGTGCAGGCTGACAGTCGACCTATAGACAACTCAGAGGGCTACATTGCGATGCTCACCCTTTTGCGTTCCTTCTTCCCGACGGCATCGAAACCGTACTATCTCACTGGTGCACCTCAGTGCATTGTCCCCGATGCCAACATGGGCGATATGATCACTGCCATTCCGTTCGACATGATCTTTGTCCAATTCTACAACACTCCGGCGTGCTCGGCGGCGACTTGGACGGCTAGCAACCCGTCATACACTCCTGGCCAGGCCACACAACAGGCGGGATTCACCTATGACACTTGGGCTCAGTGGCTATCGACTACAGCCAGTAGCGCTGCCAAGTTGTACATCACCCTGCCAGCTTCACCGGATGCTGCCAGTGAGGGCAACTCCATTACACACGAGCAGGCTAGAAACCTGATCGATGCGTACTACTGCCGGTCATCCTTTGGAGGTGTTGCTGTCTGGGAAGCAACTAGAGGCGACGCAAACCCCTACAACGGCAAATCTTTCCAAGCGACTATGAAAGACTGGCTTGTGGAGGCCGCCGTGAACCCGTCATTGACAACTTGCGAGGTAAGTGTTCGAGCCAAGAAAAAATTGCCAGTTGATAACTGATAATGCAGACAAACCCGGCACCAACTAACCCAGAGAGTCCAACGCTGCCGAACCCTGGCACAGGAGGATGCGGAGCCGGGATTGGATCCTGCGGCACTGGATATTGCTGTAGCCAGTACGGATACTGCGGGACGTCGACGGACCACTGCGGAACGGGATGCCAGTCTGACTTCGGCACATGTGGAACCGGCAGCACTCCTAATCCCGCTCCGGCGCCCGCGCCGGATCCGCCCACCACCCCGTCACCCGGAGGCGGAGCTTGCGGAGTAAACGTGGGATCATGCGGAGCCGGCAACTGCTGCAGCATGTACGGATATTGCGGATCTGGCCTAGATTATTGCGGAACTGGCTGTCAGCCAGAATTCGGCACTTGTGGTACCGGCAATGTCGGCACCGATAGCGTGTCGGGACTGCCCGTATCTACCGATGGTTCTTGCGGTGCGGGAGGATCAACCTGCAGAGGCAACGGTGACTACCAATGCTGCAGCCAATGGGGATTCTGCGGCAATTCGGCGTTGCACTGCGGCGAAGGCTGCCAATCTGGCTATGGTATTTGCAGCTGATGATCTTATTTGGACGCTGATGTACATAGGCATGTGTTTTGAAGCTCGTCGTACGTAATGTGGGAGATAGGCCATACGGCATAATTAGAGGGAGTCATCTGTTCGAAGCTAGCATCCGAGGACGTGATGGGATGGAACATGAGCGTCAAAGCCCAACTGAGCTGATGTGCACTCCGAAGCACCGCCGAGTGTTCTGGCGGCGGAGAAGAGTTGAAAGTGGCGACGGAACGTCGCGTTTGACGCGACTCCGATCACGTGACGTTGCTGTCGCTTCGCTGCAGCAATACCACATGTTCCTTTGAGCCAATCTCATGTTCATTCGTGTCATCCAACGACAAGCGTGCATCGACATCTGTATCTGCGTTGCAATCTCTCGCAGTTTCTCCGGAAATAACGGGTGTGCAGGGGCAACCGCACTAACCTGAGATTTGGCATTGCTGCTATTGATCTAGGCACATACTTCTGGGGCCGACTGCGGGCAGAATACTCAAAATCACCAGCATGGGTTCCCGCGGGATTTGGGCCTTCGCGGTTCGGAACGCACCCCGACAAGCTCTTCCAAGGGGATGGCGCAGCAGTCGCCGCGGTCGCCGAGGTCTATCAGAGATTTCGAAGCCCTGAAAACCTTCTGGACATCGCGTCCGTCTGATCTAGACTGTTGAGCTGCTAAACGCTATGTCCTGGGCAGTCTAGTGGTGAGTTGGGTCAAATGACTCGTTCTGTGCAGATGCTGAGAGATGGCCTGCAGCATGCCGACAGCAAGACGCTACAAGCTTTTGAAGCTTCCTCTGGATTGGAAGGTTTGCGAGGAATGTTGGGCAGAAGAAATGTCAACGCCGGCGGGAGGAGGGGGGACCAAGCTCACCACCCTCTCAACCAGCAAACACCGAAGTATCGCCCGATACCCATCGTCTCCACATTGAAGCTTGATCGAAAGATGGTCTTGGACGCGCTACTATTGCCGCACACCAAGAACCCGGCATTCTACTGCACGCTGCACCTATGAGAATTCACCCACGTCTCGCTGCAAACTCCGCCTGTCTAAGCCTGTCAACGGAAATCTTCTGCTCACCTCAACTGCGTTCGGTCCCGAAGCGC